TACTCTGCTGATGTACTTTTGTAGTTATTTTTGGATAATCTTCAGCCGGATCTTGCTTGCATGTGACGTTGGGGATATTGTTCAATAATTTCCACACTTTGTTAGGTCACCCTTTTTTTGGAATGGGAATAAATATAGATCTTTTCCAATCGGTTGGTCAGGTAGTTGTCATCCAAATTTCTTGGCATAACCTAATAAGCACATACAGGACAGCATCTGTTTGCTTAAATATGTCAATCTTCTAAGGGCAGAATGTTAAATGACCAAGGAAGCATCAAAAGAAGATGGAAGGAACACAGAGTCACTATACCAAAAAGAATCGGCTGACACAGAAGAATTTCATGAAACAACATATGATCAAGGGGTAATGGTGATGAAGGAGGAAGTTCAAGCTGCTCTGAAGGAATTGGCAAAAAGCAAGGCCCCAGGAATTGATGGAATACCAGTTATCTGGCCCTAGGGGCTGGTGACTCCTGCCTGAAGTGGGTACAGGGTATGAGGAAAGGCTGTGCAGAGGGAGGCTTTAAGAGTCACAGGCAGGTAGTAATCTATCCTGACCACCAAGGAAGTGGGTGGGTGCCTGCAGAGACCACCCTGATGGGTAAAGAGGTTATGCTAGTTTTCAGTCTCTTGAGAGTCTGCCATTGAGATTAGAGGGGATTAAAATAGGGAGAATCAAGGGGGTCTGTGTGAGACCTGTGACCTCTCCAAAGCCCGTGTTTGCTCCGAGGACCCTGGAGGTTGGAAACAGTCAAGCCAGTCAGTTGACTATGGCCTCAGGATGAACCAAGGAGGTTCCTGCCCATTCACCTGGGCTCAAGTGAGAGACAAGGAGATGCCCAACCAGGACTGGGCAGGTTTACTGGAGGACAATGTCAGGCAAACAGCCTCTTGAGACCAAAACATGAAGAACTAGGTTAGCTTCTAACCACTCACTGTCCACAGGAAATCTGGGCCTTTGAGGTCATGTTCCTGCTCTGGGCTCCTGGGTCTGTCCATGTCCTTGTGCTGGGCACTGGAGCCCAAGATTCCTGTAGATTGTCTGCTGATCTCATGATCTGAACAGAGATCCAGGGAGGTGGGTCTTGGCTGCCCCATCAGCCCCTGCAGACACTTTTCTGGGATAGTCAGCTAGAGAGGAGGAAGGAAGGAAATTTTAGTGTATCTCTTAATTTTCGACAAGGACCTTTCAACAAATGAATGGATAGAGAAGCTGTGGTATAGTCATATAATGGAATACTATGCAGCCATGAAAAACAAGGAACTAAAAAAAATTATACAAAAATTGGTGTCCCTGGAGGACATTATGCTGAGTGAAATATCTCAGTTACAAAAGGACAAATACTGCATAATTCCACTCTTATAAAACAGGATGGACATGGGGGTTGGGGAGAAACTAAGAAAAGAGAGGATAAATAATGAACACTGCATTCAAATAGATGTGGGAAAGAACTGTCTAAAGAAATATATGTTTAGGTATTCTTTGCATGAGAGGTGAACAGCAAAGTGGACTTGAAGGGTGGGGGGGCAGGAGGAAACTGTGCAACAACAAATGTATGGAAATACAATTATTCTGTGAACTTTTGTTAAAATGTCAATGAAAAAAAGTTTTCAACAAGGAGAGGGACTAAGGAATAAGGGGGGACAGTATCCCATCCAAGAGGGGCTGCCCTGCATGGGGCCAGCTGACTCTAATGGAAGCCTCTTCGGACTGGTATGTGCTTTGAGCCCTGGGGGGCAGGGGCTCTGTGACAACTAAGGCTGGGAGGGACACAGTCCAGAGTCCTAGCGAGTTTCCACCTGGACATCTGGAGTGGGGAGGGTAAAAAGCATTGGGTGTTTGGAGCCCATGGTCTCAGTTCACGGTAGGATTTCTAGGTGACTGGCAGGGAGGGACCTGTAAGTGGATTTAAGTGGCACAGGTGCGTAACCTTGAGCAGGTCTAGGTTCAAGAAGCTCTCTGAACCTGTTGCAAGGTCCAGCAGGTGGCTGGTGAGTAAATTGGTCCACAGTCTCCCTCATGGGACAGTTGTGGCTGCTTCCTGGGTGCCATGGGGCCCAGCCTGCCTAAAAGACACAGGGTCACACTTTTCCCTGGAGGCTGTCACTGAGACAACTTGTTGCTTCCTGGAGGAAGGGTGACAAAAGGAGCCATCAGCTTGGGAGGGTGCCAGCAGCAAGAGCACAACCAGGCACCAGTAGAGAGAATCTGCAGGACAGGTTATGGAGTCAAAACAGGAGGGAAAATTGGAATTGAAGCAGAAGGAGGTAGCAGCAGGCACTTTATGGGGCTTGAGGAAGACCATCATCTCTAGGTTCAATGGTATGTGGGGAACTGTGGGAGTCACTCTACAGGAGTGTCAGTGGTAACCATGGTCCATCCAGGATAGGGGCATTGACAGTCACCACGTACAACGTCCCACCCCTACAAGGCTCATCCGTGCTGCCTCTACAACTAGCCTGAATCCTCTGAATCGTGACATCACATTAACCAGAGATCAGACTGTGGTTTAGGATGTAGTATTTTAGGCTGACCAATATCAAAGTCTCATTTTTCTTGGGTCAAAGCAGCTGCTTATTGGCAAATTTGCCAAGCTTCATACTACCCTCAGAGCTTTCAAAGACTACAGGAAACACCAGGATCACTAGTTCAGGGACTTAGTAGATTTTTAAACCTTAAATTGACTGTTTCTGAAATAATTAGCAAACCTGTGCATGAAATTTAAAAAATGACATTTCTGAAGATTATGTTGGACATCCGTTTGTTTTCCACGGTGGCTGACCTCCAAACTGCTCTGGCAGTTTAAACCGGGCTGTGACAGGGAGAGATCTGGAATGACCCTGGTCTGACTCCTGACTCTGCTGCTGGCTACATGGTCCTGTTGGCTTCTAGAAGCACCCTTCTTCTCTGAAAAACGGAGAGGTGGAGGCACTGGCTTCCCAGGTTGTTCTGAGGTACACACCAGGTATTGCAGTTAAGAATGGCTAGCATGTCACCTGGGATCCTGCTGTTACTGGCAACCCTTGGGAACCTTAAGGTAGAAACCCATCTGTTCCCAATTCTGGATCAGTTCCACAAACACTTGTCGGACAGGCTAGTATGTGCACGGGGAACATGTGCTTGGACTCTAAGATGATCAGCAGAGAGCTCACGCTGCCTTATAACCAGACCTATTAGTCTGCTGTGTCAAGGTGGGAGAAGCATCTGTTGTCAGGGATTATAAGACTTGCCACACCTCCTACTCTCTGCCAAGTAACTCCTTTACCATCCAGAGTTTTAACCTGAGCCCTGACAAGAAAAGGGAGTTCCAGATAGTCTTTGGCTTTTAAACAAAAATAACCCAAGCCTGATCTTATGCTCATGGCCTGAGTATGCCAAAGAATGGGTGAAAAAATGCCAATCTGAACATTGCCATTCCCCTCTCTGATTCACATGGCTGAATAACATCCTTGCATCTTTTGTCTACAAGGGGGAAATCTGCCTCAAGGTAGGAACCAAAAGCCTGGGGCAGGAGCACAGCCCAGGTCACCCAGAGGCTAAATCTCAATCAAAGCCTGCAATAGAACACACAGTGGATACACGCCACAGGAGGCCGAGAGGAGCCCGAGGTCTCATCACTCCCGGAGCCACTTTATTTTGCTTTTGCAATGACCATAGCCTTCACTTTTCACATTTAATTTAGAAAATAAATAAGTAAAAAAAGGAAACAGAGCGCTGGAATCCAGAGCTTCTGGGGATGTTGGTATGTGTGAGACGGTCAGTCAGGCAGAGCCAGTGAACATGCTCTGTCCCCCAAGGGCCTGCCAGCAAATCCTGTTTTCTTAAGACAGAACTTGGGAGACTTCATCAACACTTTCCAGAGTTTAGATTCTTGGAATTGGGGCCCAGAATCCAACGAGAAACACGCGCCCCGTGTGATCAACGCAGGTCTCGTCAGTCCATGTTCCACCAAAAAAGAGCCTTAAAAGGAATCTTCTCTGAAAGAGACAATGGGCATGATTTATGTGTAAACTTAAAAGAGAAATGGAGAGTTTTTGAATTCCTTCAAGTTTAAACACACGCGCGCCAGTGAGGCCTACAATTCAAGTTTTAAAAACAGATTAATCCATAAATTCTAAGTCGTGATATAAAAAGTCTTTTCTTAAATAATTTAAAAACCATGGAGACCCTCACACGCCCAATTTAAACTCTTATCTACACAAATTTACAATATTTATAAATACATCACAGGCAGATATTGAATTGTATTTATAACAAATTCACTCTCAGGAGACACACAGACTAAACTACCATTAAAGTGAATTCGTAGGAAACAGAATCAACTCTTAAGATTTATACGTGACAGGTCATTCCAATGAAACAATGATCATTTTAGCAAAGACCCTTCGGGCTGCTGAGAAGGCAAGGCAGTAGGTCTGCTTCCAGCACCCTGTGCTGTCAGAGGTGGTTTCTTACGCAGACGGGGAGTGAAATGGGTAAATGACTGAGTCCCCACTCCTGGACAATCTATTCTTTTGATTTAGGTTCTATAGGGTCTGCCAGCTCGAGCCTCAGGTTCCCCTTGCTAACAGGACACATTCACACCCAAAGCCAGGCATGCTGTGGTCCTGGTTTTGAGGAGCTGAAATCAGGGGTAGTGGACATGGAATGAAGGCCCTTAAGTTGCCCAGGCTGGGAATATGATACTATGAGGTGAGAACGTATGACCACTGAGAGGCACTGTCCCTGGCACCTGTCTCAGAGTACAGGTGTCCTTCACAGATGCTTGGCATTTGTCTGGAAGTTTCCAGATGACCCTTGAGCCCTAGGCTTATCCCGGAAAACCAGCAGAATCTGTTAGCTTCTCCAGTAAAAAGCATGAGGCAGCCACTGGAGTGAGTGCCTGTGGAGCTTTCTTAAATCCCCTGTCTTGAGGGCTGTAACCTTCGGAGGGAGCTCGTCCAGTGGCGACTCTTATCCAGCACCACTACGCAGTTGTCGTTTGGTGGCCGCAGGTGGCTCAAGGGATGCCCTCCTTCCTCTGACAGCACTGTGACGGCGGCGCTGACCAATCGTAGATGTAGGAAAGGCGCAGCCGGACCTCCTCCTTGCACAGGCGACCCTCTCGTGTCAGCATCTGGTGTTTCTCCAGCATGTCCTCCAGGCTCTGCTTATGTGTCACCAAGTACTGGTTGCTGCAGCCTCGAGATTTGTATTCGGTGTCGAAGCGTGGATCGTGCTCGCGCTGCACGTCCACGGGGGCCAGCCAGGCGCCCAGTGACACGTCCTCACTGTGCCACGCGTGCAAGTAATCGCGACTGAGGCGCAGGTAGTGCACCAGGTCGGCAGAGAGTACGTAGCCGCCACCCAGCGCATAGGGCAGGTAGTAGTCGCAGAGCTGCCAGGCGCCCTCCCGCCACCGGCCACCTGGCTTGACGCGACTGCGGCCCGAGAAGAAACCCCAGTAGAGGCGGCGGCGGCGTGGTGGGTCGCGTGCGCGCAGCTCGGCCACCAGTGCGTCCAGGCGCGCGAATGAGTCGTCGTCCGCCTTGAGCACGAACTCGAAGGCCACGTGCTCATCGAGCCAGGTCAGCATGGCCAGCACTTTGGCCGTCAGGTTCTCGTAGGAGTCGCGCAATGCGGGCAGCAGCAGGAGGTCGCCGTGCCGCGCCTGCTCGCGTTCCAGAGCGCGCAGCTCGTCGGAGCCCAGCCCGGCTGTGCCCACGGCGAAGCGCGCCCACACGTCGCCCGGACCACCGCGCCGCGCAGCCGCCAGCCACGTGCTGCGGACGATGCTGCGCCGCTCGGCCGCCCGGGGCGCGCTGGCCACCAGTACCGCCAGGAAGGCAGAGGAGGGGGCGGCACGAGCGGCGACCCCGGCTGGTGGTGGAGGGCGGCCTGGCCGCGGGCCTTCAGCCGCACAGCGTGCCAGGTAGAACAGAGTGGCGCCGCAGAGTGCCAGGCACCCCAGGCCCAGGGCCGTCCGGTGCCGCCACGCCCGTCGCAGCAGCTTCATGGTGCCCGCGGCGGGGCCGGCGGCGGCGGCGGCCGCGACTGCGCAAGCGCGGGCTCTGTAGTCGGCGCGCGTGCGCACGTTGCTCTTCAATGGCGTTGTGCAGCCGCGGCCCCCGGACACCGAACTAGCGGAGGCAGCCGTGCGGAGCTCGAGCAGTGGCAGCCTTTATTCCTAGCGGTGACAGCAGAAGGCTTCGAGTCCCAGGCGGTGCATTCGGTATCCGGTGAGCTAGCGAGGACCGGAGCCGGCCCGGACGTCACGTTACCTTGTACTCCCTTCTCACTGGTCGAACTGGGAGTTATTGCGGTACCACTTCCGCCCGGAGGAAAGATGGTGGCGCCCGCGTCTTCTCAATGACCTGTCGCCTCCCTGCAGCCAGCTCCCCGCCTCTTCCCGGAAGAAAGATGGCAGCGGCCTGAGCTGAATCCAGTTAGAGGCGTCACGGGCGCTCGCGGCTCCACAATTCGGATCTTGGGCAAGGACCGGGAGGCTGGTGAGTGAGGAGGATCCCTGAGACGCGCCGCCGCGCTATTTGAACGGCAAGTGGGGACTTAGAGCCGCAGGTCAAGGCGGCCGCGCTCTCCGGTCGCCCTGCCCTGGGTGTCATCATCCGTTTCGGCCCGTCAGCCTGTCGGGGCAGCAGAGGTTGGCGAGGGACAGCGGTGTTCAGCCCTTGCGTAACGCCCACTAGCCACTTTGCAGCCGGGAAACTGCTGTCACTTGCTCGTTGTGGGAGCGTCATCCTCTCCATGCCCGGTCCCTGGACCGTGGTCTCCAGGTCACCGTGGGCACAGGCGACAGGAAGGGCGTGTGGGCCTCCTTCCAGCGTTGACCAGGCCGAGCTGAAGACGCCCTACGAAAGACAGTTGTCACACTGCCCTCCCTGGGAGGATTTTCTCTGGTCTTGGCGGCCCCACTCTGCAGAGGAGCGCCTGGCCTTGACTCTTAGTCACTCTGCCTAGGTCAGGTGTTCGCTTCCCCCCTGCTGCAGCATCTGACATTCTTTGTCAAGATCTGCTCATGCCACAGGGATACTTAGGTCAAGGCAGAATGCCCACCGTAGCAGCTTGATGTGCTTCATCTGTAAAATTTGGGCAGTCACCCGTAACTAGGAGGGTCCAGTAAATAGTAGAAGTTACAGACATGAGTATCTAAGGACCTCTGGTAGCTTAGTGGTAAGGAGTTGTACTGCCAGTCTAAAGGCGCACAGAGTTTTAACCCATCAGCTGCTCCTTCAGAAAAAGCTGAATCTCCCCCCCCTGTGCAATTTACATTTTCTGAAAACCCACCCGAGGGTCAGCTATGAGTCGGTTCTGACTTGAGGGCGTATATAACAATGAATAGCTGGTTCCGTTAGTGGCAGTTGTTATTAACACGGTATTAAAACTATAAAGGTTTCTAATGTGTGTATGACTATTTAAGTGAAGAAATACTCAGATTTTATTAGAATTTGAACCCCTGGGTGGTGAAGAAACATTGAGGCCTCTGAAGCTAGAAATCTCAGGCTGAGGTTTCTAACTTCCATTCATTTCTTTTTCAGCTTTTCCTAAGTTCTGAGGGTCCTGTTCCGTGCGTTCTGGGGTCCAGTGACTCTGTGGCACAGGACAGAATGCCATCAGGTCCTGTACTGTCCTAACACTCTGCTTGAGCCCATAGTTACAGCCACTGTGTTATCTCATTGTGGGTCTTCCTCAGTTTCACAGACCCTCTCCTTTACCAGACAAGATACGAAGTCTACCAGGGACCGATCCCTCCTGATAACATGTCCAATGTATGTGAGACAAAAACTTGTCATCTCTACTTCATACTGATTCTTGTTACCTTGTACCACTGAGTCAAAACCGACTCATAGTTGACCCTCCAGTGGTTTTCAGAGGCCGTAAATCACACAGGAAGAGACAGCCCATCCTCCCACAGACCAGCTGGTGGATTTGAACTGTATGCCTTTGGCTTGGCAGCGTGGCTCCATACCATTAAGCTTCCAGAGCGCCGTACCTCCGAAGTTGTCAGAAGTTTGTTGATGATTCAGTAGGAACTGAGTAGTCCTGGTGGCATAGTGGTTAAAACACTCACCTGCTAGCTGAAAGGTGACAGGGGTCACAGAGGGCCACGACAGATATACTCAGAGAGTGGTCAGCGGCTGTAGCCCAGACAGTGCAGAGAAGCTCTGGTGAGAGGTGTGCAGGGCAGAGGTCGGGCAGGGGAGGGATTCTCTGGTGGGCAAAGAGCAACTCCTGGAAAAGGCACACAAGCTGCCCTTGTAGATGGACACGTGGGAGTGCAAGATCCATTGTTGTGTTTGGGTTGAGAAGCTGACTGATGGGCAGAAGGGACAGCACTCCAGGGAGAGGGGGACATCAGGGAAGCAGACGTTGGTGTTTGCCTGCGACTTGGAGACTAGAGAGCTCTGCTAGTGGTAGTAGGACTGTGTGTGCACAGGCCAGACGGGGCGGGAAGGCCTGTAGTCACTGGCCAGAGGGACAAGCAGTGACTCTTTTTCCCCAGCAGCCAATGGGTTGCTGAGACTGTGATTTCAGGGAAGATAGAATCCCTGAGGGAGGTGGAGCCCAGGTCAAGTTCATGAAGGACTCACAATTGGAAATGGCACGTTGTGTCTGGTTATGAGGCCTGGCTTCCTGGACTTAGGACTCTGGACACAACAGTGGAGTCAGCCTCCTTGGCAGCCCTGGCTGTGTACCTGCATAAACATTGTGTGTGGACACAAGGCTGTTGCAACAGGTGTAGGGGACCACGGGAGCATGGAGCCTCACCCTTATCTGAACATGACTTTCATGAATCCTGACCGAAGGGTGCCGGCCAGCTGGAGATGAACCAGCCTGTGGGTTCCTCTGAGGAAGTGGGCAGGCCCTTGAGGTGCAAAGGCCCTTTGAGCCAGCAGCTGTTACATACGTAGGAGAGACATGCTGTGTCTGGGGTTGAGGACTTAGTACTTCTGTCACTGAAGCTCACTTTTTTAGTGGGTAGGGTTTTTGCTGAGTCTGCATTGGACACTCCTTACTGGCCCTACTCTCACCTTAGCCTCTGGACCCACTGTACCCTCAGGGACCTTTTTCCCATAGCAGCTGAAGGAGTGCAAAAGCCTGGGAGGTGGGGCACTGAGAATTGGTTGCCTCTGATCTTTGCTGTGACTCCTTCCCGTGTACTTCCTCCTCTGCAGACTCTGCTCACGTCTTCGGGCTGTCCTGGTACTGCCCCAGCCCACAGTGATGGCCTCTCCCTGCACTGAAGCCCTGCGCTGCCTCTGGCTCCTGAGTGTGCTGCTCCTGACCAGTGTGTCTGCACGACCCGCCAACCACTCGGCCGTCCGGGAGAGAGCAGCCAACAGGGATGAGAACGAGATCCTGCCCCCAGACCACCTGAACGGGGTGAAGATGGAGATGGATGGGCATCTCAATAAGGAGTTCCACCAGGAGGTCTTCCTAGGCAAGGCCCGGGAGGAGTTTGATGAGGACTCAGAGCCTCGAAGGAGTCGGAGGAAGCTTATGGTCATCTTCTCCAAGTAGGGGTGTATGGCGTGTGGGGCTGAGGGAGTGGGTGGCCTTTGGGTCTTTTGGCAGTAGGAAGGACACACTCAGAATCAGTTTCCAGTTTCTTTCCTTGCCCGTAGCCTCCTCCATAAGTCTAAGTTTGGAGCCTGGGTCAGGAGGCCTGGTTCACCATCCAGTCTGACTCAGTCTCCAAGGGGAACCTGGGCACCAATCAGTTCTCCCCCATTCCTGTGTTCTCACTCAGGTCCTTCACAGCCAGCTCACAGATGGGCAGAGTCTAGACAGAGTTAGGGAAGGGGGAGCAGGCCAGGGGGCAGTGGCCGAACAGGACTGAGTAGAGGTCAGGAAGGTCAGAGGATTGGTCCTAGAGGAGAGACAGTGCACAGTTTTTAAAAAAAATATAATGAGAAGTTTCAAATTTCTCAAATGTTTTGACATTTTTTGTAGGCTTTTATATCTTACTCTTTCTTTAAAAATTTATTTATTTATTTATTTTTCATTTCAATGAACATCTACAGAGTATATCTTACTCTTATGAGTTTATTTCACCAAGGTGAATCCTATCTCTTGAAACCATCCTAGTTCTTAAATATTAGGCCTTGCTTCATTATTGACTCTCTACAAATTGTTTGGTCTGCTTTAAGTTCATCGCCAGCAAAATAACAGGAGTAGTTACAAAGCTTTTAGGTGATATATTTCCGAGTACCTTGGAAAGGGTGAGCAGGACACAGATAAGAAGTTGTGTGTACTTCTGAATATTGCAGGGCAATCTACCCATGGTCAAGGTTATAGTAAGTATCATTATTATTTTTTTTTAAATTTTATTATTTTCTGTGTGTGTGTACCGTCAAATTGGATCTGACTGGTACAGGAGGAGATGGCCCCTCCTTCTCCAGCAGAGCATCTGGTGGATTCGAACCTCATATCTCTGGGATTGCAGTGCAGCTTCTTGCCACTAGGCCACCAGAGCTCCCCTAAGTATTATAAAGGAAGTTTTTCTTCCTCAGTTAAGGAAGAAGTACAAAAGAATCTTTAAATAATGGTTGATCTCAGATCTCGTTTTCTTCATTCTGCATTGTTTTCCATATAAGACACACAGTCTGCTCTTCTGAGGATTTATTGATTATGTAGTGTCTGAAGAGAAGGCTACAAAGAATCCTGGCCAAGATTTGAGAACTCATGCTTTGGTTTTCAGTCTTCTAGTGGCTGCAGGGCTGAAGTGTGTCCATGTATTTGTCTATACATGCCATTGGCCCCAAGCTCCCCCTGTGTGTCAGAAGCATCTGTGTCCTGAGGACAGATACAGAGATGATAAATAATTCATGGTAGTACTTTCAGTCTACCTAGTGAGTCTTTTTTCTGGAGTCTTAACAGGATGACTAGACCGCAAACTGCAGTACTGAGGCTGAAAACCATCTGTGCAGTAACCTCAGTCTTGAGCTGTATCCCAGTTTCATAGGCATCTGAGCTGTCCAGTACACAGTCCCCCACCCGGATCAGTCCTGCCCCAGAGAGCATGTGGCAGCTCTAGCAGTTAGTAACCAGGCCCTGCACTGGGGAGATGGGCACCATGGGCATGGACAGGGGCGCACACTGGGGTGCGGGACTGATGGGTGTCGTGATCTTCAGAGGCTGGGACGTGGAGGACTCCAGGTTCTGGAATTCGGCTTCAGCTAGAGGAGTGTGCTGTTAAGTACCTGCGCACTATCTTGAGGGGAGGCCACTCGAGGATGAGGAAAGGGCCTCCTGTGGGATGCCTCCTTCCTGTGGGATGCCTGACTTGTGGATCAGACCGAAATCTAGTTGGTTGGTTCACATGACGTACAGTACATACAGCTCATGGGCTGGGCCAGAGCTGCCTCCTCAGTCCCTCCAGAGCACCTGTGAGCTCTGAAGCCACCTTTACTCTGGGCTTGTGGACGCAGACTTCCCGTGCCAGGCACGGAGCTGAGGGGACCATCAGTCTCTCCTGTTAAAAAACACATTCAGCTACGCACCAGGAGACTGCCGGAGCTGGTTGTGTGAAGTGTGTTCTCAGTGCCTTCTGTATTCAAGGTCTATTGTCACGGCTTTTACAAGACATGTGACTCCCTAAACATTCCTTACTACTACCAATTTACAGTATGAGAAATGGGTGAAAAATTTCATCTCTTGTTTTAACAGTCACGTATGTACTTTTCCATTTTTTTGTTTCCTTTTATATGAATGCTCTTTGGGAGAGGAGCAGCTGCCTAGGTGGTCTCTGCTGTCCTTATGTGGTCGATTTTGGTCTCTCAAGTGTTTGCGGTAGATTCCAAGAAGTGAGGCCGCAGAGCCAGGAGCCTCAAGGTGCTGTTGCTGCCGAGAGTCTCAGCTTGGTCACCATTCTCGATGCTGTCAGCCCCTAGCGAGGACCACTGACCCCTCCTCTGTGTCAGAAACTATTTGTCGTTTAGCTTGGTTTGTAGAATGTTCTTTCTTTCTAGAAAATTGTAATTTTTATGTAATTAGAGCAGTTAGTCTTTTTCCTTTCTCTCTTTGACCCGACGTCTTTGTTTCTAACCTCCTCCTTCCCTTTCTTCTAGCACATTTTTTTAATAAAATTTTATTTTAATTGTGATTTTAATGAATGTTTACAGAGAAGTTAGATTTTCATCCATTCATTCATTATTATATATTTTACCTCTCTTTCCCTTCTCCCTCCCTCCCCCAGTTTACTCTTTTCTGTTTAATATTCATTCGTTGTTGCCCTTCTAGCACTTTTGTGTACTCTTGTCGTCTTTGGGTTTTTGGTCTGGCATCAGCACCTGTGCAGAGGAGGCATCTCCTTCCTCCTTTGGGCTCCCTCCTACCATTGCCTCTGGCTGGTGCAGTCGTGTTCACATGGCCATAACTCCTGGCAGCCTGGGGACCTGGGGGCCCGGTTCTGTCCAAACAGGCGTAGTAGGTCTAGTGACTGGTAGGGATGGGAGCTGATGCAGAAGGGCCCCTGGGATTGAGGGCAGCAAGGTGAGATGGGGTTGGTGCAGTTTTGGGAGCCCCATTCCGTGCTCTGCAGCTAGTGGCCCCATCTGTAAGGTGAGCATGGTGAGATCTGGCCTGCCGTGCACACATCTTCCTTGCATGGGCTGAACATCGAAAGGGTGATGTGTCTGACCTCTGCTCCATTATGGTGCCTCTCACTGTAAGTGGTGAATGGAGGAAGGGGCGTGGAGTCAGGATGGCTAGGCCAGTTACCCAGGGCCCTAGGTATGCCTTGAACAGAATGGTGGTGTTTGCACAGAATGGTGGTGTTTTCTGATGCGGTGGGGCGGGAAGGATTATGTACATATTAGGTACATTACGTGCCTGAACAAACAAGAGGATGGTAGGGGTGCAAGGCGAGTCTCAATTCCAGGGCCTGCTTGGGTGAAAACAGTGTGGGGAGGGTAGAGATGGGCTGGAGGGATCATTTTGGAGAACAGATGAGAAAGGACCACACCCCCATCCAGTCCAGTTGAGACATCTGGGAGAAGAGCCAGGGAGAGGGTGCTGGGGATCACAGTAAGGACAGGTGCTCTGATGCCCATTCCCTCCATGGATGCTCGGTGCAGGCATTTCCACGGGAAACCATTTGCTTTTCCTGACTTCTGGTGGCAGTGTTGGCAGGGAGTGTGGGCGCAGGACCCTTGGTGGTTTTGTTACCACGTTTGTAGAAACCAGAGTGGCCACCAGGGGGCAGAGCTGCCTCTTCTAGGCTTTTGGGAACAGAGGCTGCGGCTCTTTATGGAGCTGCTGGGGCAGCAGGACTGCCTGTGTGGATGCTCAGTGTTCTCACCCACCGGGCTCCTCAGCATCACACACCAGCCCTGGGTGAGGCTGCTTGTGATCAGGGGCAAAAGGAGGCTGACAGGAAAGGGCTCTGCCCCAGGGTGTTAAAGAGTTCAGGTGTATGTATGTGGGGAGATAACCTGGGCTTGAGGAGGGAGCTTTCTCTAAGGAGAGTCTCACCAAGGTCCCCTGCCCGCTCAGGGCTTCCCTGGGTGCCCAGATGTGCACATTTGCCTTGTATCTGGGGAACACAGTGGGTTTGGGCAGGACTAGAGGGTGGGGTTTGGGCAGGACTAGAGGGTCGGATCCGCCCACACCAGAGTGTCCTCCCAACGCCCCTCCTGTTGCTGGGGTACCCTATTCCAGGCTAGAAGCCATGTAGGGGCACAAAGAGTGTGGAGAGGGCTTTGCTGGGAGACTTCATTCATTTCTCTGCCTTTAACCTGGAAGCGTTCGGGTTTGTGGGGAGGCGAGGTTAGTTGGATGGGCTAGTGGGACTAGACGGGGATAATGGTGCTGAGGCGTTAGTTGGAGCAGGTCTGGGAGCGAGACTAGCAGAAGGGTGGGTCCGGGGCAGGGTTGGCCTGTGAATCTTGGGAAAGGGGATGCGTGATAGAGGGATGAATCCATGCCAAGTCTGGTGCAGAGGTTTGGGTCTGGGTGGGCTTAGTGGAAGGACAGGTTAGTGATGGGAGCTGTGCCCATTCTCCCAACTCCTGGTTGCCTCCTTTGCTAACTCTAGAGTTCAGCATAGACTGAATGCCCCGTATAACCTCGCACAGAGTCACAGGACATTTGTCAGATAGAGAAGATGACTGTATGGGTCACTGTCAGTTTCATTCCAGTTTTACTCAGGTTCAGACTTCTCCACTGATGCCTCTTCCTGCCCCAAGTCCCATTCTGGAGCTTGCATTCAGTCTCAGGCCCCCTCCTGGAGCCCCTGCGTTCAGCTTCAGGCCTTTTAAGACTCCTCTGCCCAGCAGGCTCTCACACTGTCCTTGTTTCACTTGTACAACTCCATGCTTGGTGGTGTCCTCAGCTGGTTCTGTCTGTCATGTTTCCTCTTGACGAGACTGGGGCTACCGGTTCTGGAGATGGGAGCTGCCCTCTCACCATGCAGTATCAGGGTTCAGGGCATCAACACACATATCACTGATGTGGCTACCTTTGGTCACTTGGTTAAGGTCATGTCTGCCACACTATCAAGTTACCTCCCCTAATCTAGGACGAGAGTTACTGATCTCCCCAGCCTGGGAAGGCAGGAGTTAAAAGCCTCCCCCCCCCCACCCCGTGGGTGGGTGGGACTTCATCTGTGTTGTTTGTAATTTTTTTTTTCTTTCCATTTGACGTAAATGAGAAAGTAAATAAACAGGTGGATTGTGATATCTACGTGTGCTTTGGTTTATAACCCACCTAACTTACCACATTGTTCTTGATGCTCCAGCAGTGGCCACTGGGGACTTTTTCAGGTTGACTCCTCTGTCCTTTGACAAGCTCCTTCTTCTCGACCCCTGGGATTTCTGCACCTTCTCATGCTTCGAGATACTCCAGGCCTTGACTCTGCCTGTTGTCCTGACCCCAACACCAGTCTTTTCCCCGAGAAGCCTGTGGTCAGGCAGCAAGATCTGGATGCTGATCTGCTCTCTGCTTCAAACGTGCTGTGTTCCTAGGCTCTCTGGGTGGAAGAGCTGATGCCCCACCTGACCACCACTTGTCACTGTGTCTGTGTATGGTGGGTGAGGGCCATCATCTGAGCCTCTTCACAAGAGGTAGAGAAAATCACCATCCTTAGCCCACTGCAGGGTGTTCCGTGGCAGAGGTCAGACAGCTGCCCAGCCTCCAACCTTGTTACTAATTCTGACACCAGCTGCCCCTCCCACTGCGCAGTCTTGGGGCCAGCTCATTGCAGTGGCCACACAGAACTCACAGACCAGAAGCACAGTTATGGGAAGTAGATGTCATCTCACATGCTGTGACTGTGTTACCAGGTGGGGTCAGTCCCTGGAGGACGTCATAATACTTGGAAATGTAGAGGGTCAGTGAAAAAGAGGAAGATCCTTCGTGAAATGAATTGGCACAGTGATTGCAACACTAGGTTTCAGGGTGGCAGAGGTTGTGACGGTGGAACCAGCTGTCTGTTGTACAAGGAGCCGCTTGAGTCAGGGCTCACTGGAGTGGACTTGAAGGCGCTTTAAAACAGGCTGCAGTTCAGGAACGTTCAGGATACAGTTGTTTCAGCAGAACAGCCTCCGCTTCCGCTGTGCCTGAAGACAGAGGCCGCTGCCCTGCTCAGACAAGCATTACATAGCTCGCTCTTTCTTTCTTTCTTTATTTAAAATTTAAAATTTTTTTTAATTGATTTGCTTGCAGTCTTTCCTACACATTGTGTTTTTTGTAATATTTTATTTACATGTTAACATGTTACATTCATATACATTGTATTTTATAAGAGTAATTGTTATTGATCAAATTTTTTATTATCCCATCTTTTCAAGTCTCCATTGAATCTTTCCTGGTTCTTCAATACCCACTTTTCCACTAACCTAGTGATGTCCCTCCTTCCCATTTTCCTATCGCCTTCTGCCTTTCATCTTCTCCTTTTGAATGTTTATACACATGTTGCTCAATTACCTTTCTGTTTTTACAAGAATGGTCTTATGTAGTGTCTGCACTTAGGTGACTGAGTTATTTCACTGAGCATAATGTTCTCTAGACTCTCCCATGTTCTATTTTATGAGATTGTTGTTCCTTAGTGCTGCATAGTATTCCATTCTGTGAATGTACCATAGTTTCTCAATCCACTCATTTGTTGATAGGCATTTGGGCTGGTTCTATTTCCTGGCTATTGTGAATAATGCTGCCAGGAACATAGGTGTATATGTCTCCATTCATGTCTCAGTCCTGATTTCCTCAGTGTATATTCCTAGCAGTGGGATGGCTGGATCATAAGGGATTTCTATGTTGAGCTTTTTGAGGAAACGTGCAACTGCCTTCGAGGGTGGTTGTACTATTTTACAATCTCGCCAGAGGTGCATGAGAGTTCCAGTCTTTCTGCATCCTCTCCAGCATTTAGTGGTTGCTGTTCTATTAAACTTTGTACTGCTACTGGGGTGAGATGGTATCTTATTATGTTTTGATTTGCATCTCTCTGGTTGCCAGTGATTTTGAGCATTTCTTCATGTGTCTGTTTCTGTTGGCCATCCTAACATCATCCTCTGTAAAAAGTTTTTTCCATGTCTTTTATCAGTATTTTAATTGGGTCGTCAGTCTTTTTCATGTAGAAATCCTGTATAGTATTCTGTAAAGTTCAGTTATGAGGCCTTGGTCTGAGATGTCACTGCAATTATTTTTTCCCCAGTCTATAGGCTTTCTTTTAACCTTACTGGAAGAAGTTTTTGATAATACACAGGAACTTAATTTTTAGAGGTCCCATTTGTCACATTCGTCCTCCACAAAGCTCTTTTAAACTCTCTGGATATAACACAGCACCCTTCTGCCCTGATTTCATGCTACTCTACTCTAGCTCCATGGATGGGCCCAGCAGTATCCCCATTCCACAGCAGGCCTCACACTGCAAGAGGCTCTGCCTTCTCCAGTCTGTGGGCCAGGAAGCCCACTGCTCTATTTTGTACCAATCTTGTCCAGTCTTGTGCCACTTCCTCTGCCATCCCTTCTTACCAGCTCTCTGGTGTTATAACTCTCTCTCTTGGATCAAGAGATTACCTGGCACAGGGTTCATGAGTCCGAAGGAAGCACTCTGCTCCTAGCTCTTCTTTCTTGATGATTCTGAGATATCTTCCTCCTTGTCTGCTTGTAGAATAGCTCATTTTAACTCTAGTAGGACGGGAAAACTGACCAGTCTCCACATTCGGATTTCATACACCTTGTTTGCATGGTCCCTTCACCATCCCACAAGAATGTCATATGCTCTATCTATGTGTCCCCATGGTGAGCCACGGCATGTCGCATTCATATAGGAGTCCTGGTGGTGGTGTGCGCAGTGTGCCAGGCTGCTTGCTACCTGAAAGACAGTTCAACTCCACAGGACGTGAGGGAGAAAGATGGACATTCCCTTTCCATGAGGTGTCAGCCTCTGAAACCCAACAGAGAGTCCATACTGGTGCAACAGCAGTGGCTTCAGGCTTTTTGGGCCCAGTTACTTGGTGAGAGTTACAAAGACAGTAGCTGGAAGGGCTGTACCAAGTAGTTAATTCACCACAGAGTGCTAGCTCACAGCTTGCACTGCTGTCTCGGGGTCCACACCTCTGGTTCCCTCTTATTCCTCAGCTTTCTGCACTTTGTAGCTTTTCTTCTAGTGTGAGCCCTTGGGCATTTTCAGGGGAAGACTTCAGGAGACAGGTTCTGCTGTGTGGTGTTTGTTACTGACGTCACTGAGAGACCTCTCCCCCCTGTGCTTTGCTCTCGAGGGCATAGGGTGCTATTGGGGGGGCTTGAGGGATCTAGTGCCACGTTGGGTCAAGAGGCTGCTTGGTGTGGGGGCATTGTTCTTGGACGGGGTTACTACTGTGTGTTCAAGGAGCCCTGGGTGGTGTGTTCAGTGTGAAGACGAGGGTTCTGGGACATTGAGGGTTGTGAATGTCTGGGCGCTCTCCCTGATGGAGGATGACCCTGTGGGCTGCGAGCTTCCCAGCTTGGGCTGGCCAGGGTCTGCCTCTGGACCGTGTCCTCCTGAGTGCTGATGTAGGTCCCCTGAGTCCTCCAAATCTTGTAAGTTTACATGTGTCTGAGGGGCTTTGTGGGGTCACATGTCTCTTCTAACCCCTGTGAATCCATATGTACTTGAAGGGCTTTGTGGGGTCAGGTGTCAGCACTGAGTAAGATAAACGGGAACATGATATGGAAGTAGCAGTTGGGTGACTGCCATCTATGGGAGGCTGGGGGGATGACAGTCTGCCCATTTTCTAGTGTTTGTGTGGGCCTGTTTGCCAGCTGTTTGGAGACCGGCAAGGAAGGCCTACAGCAGTCCACAGACCACACTGCTCTCTTGTCCTGATCCCTCCTGTCCCCCGCCTCCCATTTCACACCTGGCAGCCGGCCGAGGCTGATGCGTGTGCCCCTTCTGCAGGGTGGATGTGAATGCTGACCGCAGGATCAGTGCCAAGGAGATGCAGCACTGGATCATGGAGAAGACGGCCGAGCACTTCCAGGAGGCTGTCCGGGAGAACAGGCTGCACTTCCGCGCCGTGGATCCCGACGGCGATGGTATGGGGCTCGGGTGGCTCCTGGGGACGCCTGGTTTCACTGCACCTGATCCTGACACTGAGGAGAGTACTGTGAACCAGGGCACACCTTAACCTGGGGTGGGGCATCTCCTGACCGGGTGAGGTCGGGGCCTCGCTGGGGGAGAGGGCTGCAGTCTTCATTTGTTGTAAAGTCCGAGTTCACTTCACTGGGTCTCCTAGCAAGCTTGTTCCCTTTAGAGAAGGAAGGCTCTGGCTTCAAAAGCTGCACCTCAGCCTCCTGACCTGGGTGCTTCCTCGGCAGGCCGTGTGTCGTGGGACGAGTACCGGGTGAAATTTCTGGCAAGCAAAGGCCACAATGAGCAGGAAGTTGCCGAGAGGATAAAGAACAACGAGGACCTGAAGGTGGACGAAGAGAGTGAGTCCGTGACTTGGTGCTGCTCTGCAGGGCTTCCCTCTGGATAGATGTGCCCATGGCCAGACACCTGGGCAGAGCTTCCAGCGATGGAGGGCAGGCTGCAGACAAGCCCTCCTGAAGCCCTCCTGTACACGCGCGCACACACACACGCACACACGCACGCACGTGCATGTGCACACACATACATGTGCTCGTCTGGAGTAGTAGTGTCAGGCTGTGGTGAGACCGGTGACAGATTGAGGTCGGGGCTTGGTGACTTGGGCTGTTGCGCATGGATCTTGGATTGATGCCGCAGACTCTCTCCACAGAGAAGCTCACAGTGTGGGCATGCTCGGTGGCCCAGCTCGGTGTTGGGGTGGGCCAGCTGGGCTGCACTTGGAGGTCAGTGGTCTCTTAGCCTCTGTAGCCCCTCAGCAGTAGGAGCAGCCTGCAGAGCCCTGGGTGCTGGAAGCTCTGATTGGGCAGGGGAGAGAATGAGGAGGGGTCTGGGAGGAGGGGGAGGGGCTGCTGCTGAACTTGAGCTTCTAGGGAAGAGGAGATGGAAGATGCTATAAGCAGTCAAGTTAGGAAAGTGCTGATAGGGGCTGACCTGCAGCAGGCAGACTGTGGGGAGGATGAGAAAGGCCCAGCATCCTGGGCCCTAACAGGGTGGAGAGTCTGAAAGGACCTGGAACTGTGTCCTGTGGCCTGTGACTCATGGAGGCTAATGTCTGATGGCTGTTCTGGGGGTGCCTGGTTCATCCACCGTCTGTCTGCCCCAGCAGAGGCCCATGGATCGGGGCCCTGGCTTCACTGCTTCAGAGGTGTCACCCTGTGAGATCAAGACGAGCGAGCATCCCTAGCCCCTCGCTGCCCCTCGCTTGCTCTCTCCTTGGGGCCCGGGGTGAGGTGGGTGCCAGCCCCGTGAGGGGTCCTCTCGGCAGGTGGGGGTTGTGATGTTCCCAGAGCTTCCTCGCAGTGTTTGCACAGAGGAGTCTGTGGAAAGTTTGTTTAGCTGATCATGCAGTCAAATCTAGAAACTGGGTTTTCCTTTAAAACAGTCTTCCCCTTAAAACGTCTCTGCACGTGAAAGAAATTGAAAGGAACAAAAAAAAAAAAAAGAAAAGAAAAATGACGCCTTTTGTTCCTGTAAACAGTTGAGTCAGCCTCCGCAGCACACCTTCATTTCTCATGAAGAATAAACAAACACCCTGGGCGTAGCACGGGGTCCCTGCATGGGACAGCTACCCCACCTCCAGTCCCCCATCACTGGGTCTCTCCACCTGTTCCCCGAGGCCCTCGTGCCTCCTTCCTGAGGCGTGCTCCTTGAGACCCTCTTTCTCCTCTCTGCTCACTTCTCAACTCCCTGAGAGCTGCCTCCTGCTCCCTGAGGGGTCCCCTGCCCACCCCAAAGCTTTCCCCAAAGACCACCCAGTGAGCAGGCAGCCAGATGTCCATGGTATGTCTGTTCTTCTGCTGAGACGCCTCCCCCAAACCTTGTGCAGGAGGGAGCACGGGAATACTTGACCTTACATGGATAGAGAGGAATGGGAGTGGAGGGAGCTCAGTGTCAAGGGGCCTCCAGCCAAGCTAGGGGCAGGTATCAGGTTTGGGGTTGATGAGGGGTGGTATCAGATGAGAGCAGTGGGTATAACCCCTGACCTTCATTGAGGGGTTCTTTTGACTGCTGATATAGGAAATCATCCCCTGTAGGGCTTGAACACCCCAAGAAGAGGCCCACAGACCGCCAGAGCAGCAGTCGGTGAGACTCTGTTGATCTGCCTGGATGATGGAGCCGGTGGCCATTCCCACCAGGGTTTAGGGAGAACTGGAAAAAGTCCCCTAGGCTATGAAGGGGGTGAGCTCAACAGAGATACTTGGTTGACCCTGCAGCCCCCTTGTCAGTGGTCCTAGAGGCTGGTTACCCTTGACCTGGCTCCTATCATCTGCTGTGCCTGGCCTGGCAGCATCCAGCTGTCCCTGCCCCGGCATCATCCAGTGAGGTGCGCCCCGGTCCTCACAGATGGTACCTCTCAGCACAGGAAGTCCTGGAGAACCTCAAGGACCGCTGGTACCAGGCGGACAACCCCCCCTCGGACCTGCTGCTGACTGAGGAAGAGTTCTTGTCCTTCCAGCACCCGGAGCACAGCCGTGGCATGTTGCAGTTCATGGTCAAGGAGATTGTGCGAGACCTGGGTGAGGCAGGCCGGGCTGGGGACTGGGGTAGGGCTTTGCCGGCTGCACTGTGAGGTGACAGAGCCCCAGGCACACTGTGTACCAGTCCCCCGCATGCTCACAGCTCGCCACTTGCCCCCTGGCTCCCCTTGGGCTCTGGGTTCACATGCCACTGTCCTGCAGACCAGGATGGCGACAAGCGTCTCTCCCTGTCCGAGTTCATCTCCCTCCCCGTGGGCACCGTGGAGAACCAGCAGGCCCAGGACATCGACGACAACTGGGTCAAAGACAGGAAGCGAGAGTTTGAGGAGCTGATCGACGCCAACCATGATGGAATTGTGACCCCAGAGGAGCTGGAGGTGAGGACACTGCCTGGGGGGACCATGTTGGGGGGACGTAAAGATCTTCATGGGGGAGGGACTGCTAAGCAGAATGAGGAGGAAGAAGGGGCCTTCAGGTGGGGGAGGCGGCATTCCCCGTGGACTGTGCCCAGAACTCAGTGGGGCCAAGTGTCCTAAGAGGCCCGTCGGGGGCTGCGTGCTCAGGCAGCCTTTGTCTTTCCTGGGGGTCTCCATTCTGCAGTCGGGAGGGCCCTTCTCCTAGTGGGAGTGGGGTGGTTGGTGGTGGCAGGTGGTTGGGCTAGACAGCGACCATCCTCAGAGGTCAGCACCTGTGGGGTGTGGCGAGCCGAGCGTGGCAGCACCAGCATGGTGGGGGCTCCGGGCCAGCCTTGCTGACTGCCACCCGGCACCATTGCAGGAGTACATGGACCCCATGAATGAGTACAACGCCCTCAACGAAGCCAAGCAGATGATCGCCATCGCAGATGAGAACCAGAACCAGCACCTGGAGCCCGAGGAGATCCTCAAGTACAGCGAGTTCTTCACAGGCAGCAAGCTGGTGGACTACGCCCGCAGTGTGCACGAGGAGTTCTGACAGCTCTCTCTCTGCCCGAGCTTGTGCGCTTGGCTGTGGCTGCGGGCGGCACCTTCTCGAACCTTCTCGCTGCTCCTGTCACACTGACTCAAGCCTGCCGGCCAATCTTGAATGGTTTGACCCTGCAGAGCCCTGTGCACTGTCCTCCAGGCCTCACAGCTCCAGGGGCTCTGCTCAGAAGCCACTATGAGGTGCCACCAGGTTGTTCCTGCCCATTGGGGCTCCCCAGCCCCTGCTGCTCCCAGGCACCTTGGAAACAAAGGTGAAGAAGAGAGTTGGACACTGAAGGAGCTTCTTCCCACACACGTGGAGGCCCCCAGGGCTGAGGTGGGGCCTAGCCTCAGATGAGACTGTTGGACCTCCCTCCATCCAGCTCGGCAACTTCTGAGGAAATGCAAATGTTTATTGTGACAAGAGTCATTAATTTACTCTAAAATACAGTTGCTTTTCTCTCCCAGCTTCATTCTTTCCGTGAAAAAGTGACGGTTTGTGCACTGTGGTTGGTGGCTCCCACGGAGCAGGTAGCCTCAGCTCGCGGCGGTGTGTGCGGCTGTGAGCCGTGGTTGGGGTTGGTCTAGATGTCGTTGCGTCTGGGAATCCTGAGCAGCAGTTTTAGAGGCCACCTGCCGAGAAGCACAGGTTTCAGGGACGGTGTGGGGTCATGGCTGTGTGTGGGCTGGGCTGACCTTGACTGGACCTGCCACACAGGGGACACCAACCACCCCTCCCCCATAGGAATGCCGCTGGCCCTGAGCCCTGTGACGCCACACTGGGCAGAGAACAGCCAGAACTTGGACCAGGGTGGCTCAGGACCCTGTCCAGGTTGCCACGTAGACCCACCAACTGGCCATTTAGACGAGTGTAAGTCACGGCTCTGCTGGTTGGGGACACTGGCGGCTGTTTCCCACGAACAAGCTGGCTCAGGGAGACAGACTTTCCATACCGAGGCTGGTGACTCATGAGGCCAAGGCAGGCCCATGGGGACAGTGGTACGTGTGGGCCCAGCCCTGGCAACTTCAGCTCTCAGGGGGCTTGGCTTCAGGATGGTCCCTCCTTGCCCTGGCCCTGCTCCCAAGTCTGAGAGTCAGTCAGTTTAGGACCCATGTGCTCCTAGGAGCCCCCTGGCTAGTAGCCACTGAATGGGTAAGATACCAGCTCTGTGGCCCTTGGGAGTGGCCGACTATACAGAGTGAGGTGACCTCAAGGAGTTGGCCAGCGGCCGCCTTGCCCCAGAAGGGGTGTGATGGGCTCTGTGTGTGTGTGTGAGCACACCTGCCACCTCTGATCCCCTTCTTTCTATCTGAGTTGCTGCTGGTGTTGGCCCCTTTACTTCCCGTCTGGAACCTTGACTATACAGATGGCAGGCCTCTGAATCTGCAGACGGCCAGTTGGTGTCACCTGGACACCAGCCTCCATGGTGGGGCGGGGATGGTGGCGGTGAGGCAGCTGAGGCTCAGCCTTGTGCCCTGTGGGGCCCCCCACACAGAGCTCTGCAGTCATTGCAGCACCAGGGGAAGGAGATTGGGGTATCCAGGAACAGAGCATCATCTTCCCACAAGACCCCAAGTTTACCTAAGAGGAAACCACAGTTCTCTTTTAATGGCAAATGTGAGATTTTTTTTTCTTCCTCTCAGTAGGAGAGAGAGCTGGAGAGTAAGATGGAACCTTCCAGAAAGCGCAGGAAGTGTGTGATTGGAAACACAACCCCTTGCACATACACATGTACACATACACATACACAAATGTGTGCATATTCACACAGAAGCCTGAAGGCCCCCTGAGCCCCTTCGCCCCAGGCAATGAGGGGCGGCTTCGGAGGCTTGAGTCTGGAGGTGAGCCTGCCCTGGTGGCACAGAGTTTGCCTCTCTCTCCTCCCTCCCACACTCAGGGGAGGCAGCCAGCCCAAAGGAAGTGGGGGTGTGTGTGGAGTTTCCCAGGGGAGAAGGAGCATCATTTCCTTCACCACACCGCCAGGGGAGGGGGATTTCCGTACCGAGCTGGTATTTCCACGCTCCTGAGGAAGACGCGTCTGCTTTCGTACGGATGACAGTCTCAAAGCCCAGCGGCAGGTCCACTCGGCTGGGTAGGGCCATGAGAGCTACAGTTGACTCCATGGACCCAAATTTTGCCTCCTGCCCTGCTTGGAGCCCTCTCCATGCCCAGTGCAGGCAATAGCTTGGACACTAGTCCACTTTTTGTGGAAATCCCGTTAAAGTCACAGAGGTATACTGGGGACACCCTGATGCCTCTGTCCGCCCCCCCCATCCCGAGTTTTGCAAAGAAGAAAGAGATGAATATGTGCCCGGGTCTGAGTATGAGTGCATGTTAGGTGTGTATGTGTGTTGTGGTACAGGTACATGCAGGGGTTTTTGTGCATGTGTGGCTAGCATGCATGTATGTATATGAGTACGCGTGTGCAGATGCACACACAGGTGCTCAAGTGTATGGGCATGTGTGTTCTCCCCCTGTGCACAGTGGTGGTGTGCAGGCTCTGCCTTTGTTCGAGCTGGCGCGCCCCTCTACTCAAGGCCAGAACCCATCATGGCACCTGGGACCAGAGTTTGGGCCTGGTTTGGGTGGCCCAGTCATCAGAGCAGCTGGGTCTGGGAGTTTGCAGTGGCATCCACATGAGTGCACACATCCTGGCAACCACGGTGACCCACGCCTATAGACACCCCTGCCACGTGGACACTGGCCGTGAGCCCTGGTGTCACCTCTGCTGCTGCTGTCGTGTCTCGAGGGCACCTGGTTGTCTCTGCTCCACTGGGCCTTTCCCACCTTGATGCTCACTCAGAAGAGCCTGGGGACAGCCAGGCATGAGGGACGTTCCTCCAGCCACTCTCTTGACCTGAAGCCCTCAGAGATGGAGCATTGGCACAGATGTGGCTGAAGTGGGGGGGGGTGTGTCAAGCCTCTGGAGGGCACCCCCTACAGGCAGAGAGAGTCACGGTTGGGAAGGAGTAAGCTGGGAGGAGAGTGTGCTGAGCTCTGACCAATGTGAGTGCCCTGGTCACACAGGAGGACCTGGCCTAGCCCTGCGCTTATAATGTTCCTGTGATCACTGCAATAGAGGGAGGGATCTTGAGTGACCTGATGGGCCAAGCCTAGTTAAGGGCCCCAGGACTGAGGGGTAGAGGGGCTGAGGCTCACGTGGAAGTCTGGGCTGGGGTCTGTCAGGTTTTCATTTCCTCCCGCTCCTCCCCTGTCATCCCGCTCCTCCCCCGCAGCGCTTATAGCCACATCCTGCAAGAGGAGCCCCAGACTCGGAGGAGAGGAGGATGTGCAAGGGGGCGCGGCCTGCGGTGCCCTCCATGGCCCTGCTGCTCCTGGTGTTGGCACGCAGCCCTGCAGCTGAGCTCACTTGCAAGGGGAACACCTATCCCCACGGGGACAAGTGCTGTCACGAGTGCAAGCCTGGTGAGGGCCTAGGGGACCAAGCGGGACTGGGGAGGGCTTGGGGGGGGACCTGGGGCCTGGGAGAGGGCTGAAAGGAGACAGATGGGGGCATAGGTGTGAGGAGGTGGTGAGACTGGGAGGGGGGTGTCTTTCCTAGCACCCGGCCCTGGGGGATGGAGCAGCCAGGGGCCAACGGGGTGCCTGGTCTCTGAGCAGAGGGGCTCTGCCCTGATGCTGCATCCCCTGCCCCAATCAGGTTATGGGATGCAGCGTCGTTGTGACAACTCCCAGGACACTGTGTGTACACCGTGCAAGCCTGGCTCCTACAACAGCGGCTTCATCTACCAGGCCTGTAGGCCCTGCACTCAATGCAATGAAAGTGAGTGTTCTGCTCACTGTCACCCCACCTTCATCCCCTCCCTCCCGCTCCAGTGCCAGGGAGACTTCAGTCACCTCCGGCTGTCACATGTGGCTGTGTGGAGTCCCCACACAGCCTCAGAAACAAACCCCCAAACCGCAGCGGGATGCTCCTCTGGGGTCCCACCGCGAGGGGCGGTTAGGGGAGGGGCATGTGTTGGCCACTTAGGTCTCACCTTAGACTGAGTTGTCTGCTCAGGATGGTCCCTGGAGGACAGTCCCTGAAGGAGGAGGAGGAGGAGGTCCCTGGAGACATAGGGACCTGGAAAGGGCAAACGGGTAGGCCTGTGATGCACCCCCACCATGTTCTTCCTGGTCGGACCTGGACCTCGGAGTACCTTCTGGGGCACCTCCTGGGGGAGTGAGGCTTGAGACAATGGCCCTTGGAGCTTATTCTACAAAGCAATTCAGGGAAGATGAACGCTGGCCCTTCCTTGGTCCCCCGGCCCTGCCCTGCCCTCGCTTAGCTCAGGGCTCCCAACACGGCTGGGGCCCTGTATCTGACCTCACTCCCTAGTCTCTGACCCTGCTCCCATGGTTCTTCTGCTCAGACAGCGGGAGTGAACGGAAGCAGGTCTGCACAGCCACCCAGGACACCATCTGCCACTGCAAGCCGGGCACCCAGACTCGACCTGGCTACAGCCCGGGAGTCGGTGAGCCAGGGGGGCCTCAGCCTGGGTGCCAGCGAGCTGGCCTCCACATCATCTCTGGGACCCCTTCAGGCCTGGAAGGGGTGAAGGTGGGCCATGGGCAGGGAGAGCTGGACCCAAGTGCCACAGGGTGGGGTGAGGAGAGGAAAGGGGTGGAGCCTGTCCTCTCTGTCCCCTGCAGACTGCATCCCCTGCCCTTCGGGATTCTTCTCTCCAGGCTTCAACCAGGCTTGCAAGCCCTGGACTAAGTAAGTTGTAGCCATGCAGGCTTCAGGAACGTGGAGGGCTGGGGGTGGCAGAGGCCTGAGTGGTGACCAGAGGTCCAGATGGTGCATGTGTGGACTGGGTATGTGACCAGGCTTAGTAAGGCCTCAGCAGAGCTGTGTGTGTGTGTGTGTGTGTGTGTGTGTGTGTGTGAACACACATTTGTGGTTGTATCTCTGTGTGATGTATGTCTTTCTGGGTGTGAATATGTACATGACCACACACAGTTGGGGCCTCTATCTTCACACAAACAGACATTCTAGAAAAAGGCAGGCAGGACAGAAGAGAGGGGACCAGGGATGCACAGACCCCGTGGAGCCCTGGGGGTGTAGGCAGAATGGACCAGTGCGGGGAGTAGAAGGAAGGGACAGGAGAGAAGTTGGGGAAGTCCCTGTTGAATGGGACAGAGGTGACAGGGAGCACGCCAGTGCCCGGGCAGGGTCTTCACCCCTTCTTGGCTCCCTTGGTTCTGGAGTCTGAGGCAGGTAACTGAGTTCTGCTACTTAAAGGCTGATCCAGGGAGGACCCCTCCCTCCATCGTAGAACCAGCGAGGAAGCCCCCAGTGCAGTGTGACCTAGTGCAGACCTCCTCATCCCAGTCCAGCCTAGGCAGGAGCCACACACCCCAATAGGGAGGAAGCCCCCTGTGCAGTCCTGGTTCTAGGCTCAACCCGTTGGGGGCTGGCTATAGTCTAATGAGGTCCCCTGCAGCTGCACTGCTGCCGGGAAGCAAACTCAGAAGCCAGCCAGCAACATGTCCGATGCCGTCTGCGAGGACAAGAGTCCATCAGTCACCATGGCACCTCGGAGCACCCAGCACATCCTAGCCCTGCCCACCACCACTGAGCCCAGCCCTGCCCAGCCCACAACCTCACAGAGGCCTCCCAGAGTCCCCACAAGCTCCCCCAGAGGTAAGGAGCCTGTTCTTGCTAAAAGCAGGTGGGGTGGTGGGAATGGGGCCTGTGTCTGCATGGGCCTTGTCTTAGCTGCTCCTGTGCCCCCCAGATCCTGCACTAGCGGCCATCATGGGCGTGGGCGTGGGCGTGGGCCTGCTGGGCCTCACAGCTCTGGTGCTCATCTTGCTCCTGCATCGCCAGGCCTGGAAACCTGCCTTGGTTACCCCAAAGCCCCCGGGTGAGTGCCTGACAGACCCAGCCCAGCCCCTCCAAAAGAGGAGCTCCCCCCGACTGACATCCCTGTCTTCCTCCCCAGGGGGCAACAGCTTCCGGACCCCCATCCAAGAGGAGCATACAGACGATCATTCCGTCCTGGCCAAGGTCTGAGTGGAGGTCCTCCTCCAAGGCTGTACCCAGAAGGTTCTGGCTGGACTGAGCCACCCCCGCCACTCCCTGAGTGTACCCCTCTGCACCGTTTTAGGTGCTCCTGGCTGTGATGCAGGTCCCCGGGCTGCAGTACATATGCCGTGCATACTCCTGCCCAGCCCCCACTCTCAATAAAGAGCTTCACACACATTGGTCTCTTGCAGAGGACAAGGGCTGGGGGGCTCACCTCTTTGGGGACGAGGGGGAGATGAACACCCACAGGGCTGTACAGACAAATGGAGCATGTATTTACTGGGGGCAGGGAGCGTGCACCAGTGGGGCATAGGGAGACGAGAGGCACACACCCAAGGGGAAATCAGGATACACACATCCGTGAGGGTGCAGAAGGCATGCACTCCTTGGGGACAGGTGGGGAAATGTACAGTCATGGAGAAAGTACAGGAGGTTGTTGTTATGTGCCATTGAGTTGCTTGCGACCCATAGCGACCCTATGTACAACAGCCCTAAACCCTGCTCTATCCTGTGCCAATCGCACCATCTCCGATACACCCATCCCGATTACCCCAGTCACTGAATCAATCCACCTCATAGAGGGCCTTCCCCTCCTGCGCTGTCCCTCCACCCTCCCAAGCATGATGAATCTTTGCCTCCAAGGAGCTGCCCAGTTTGACCCCTTCCAGGATGAATCCATTTGTTTTCCTAGCAGTCCATGGTACCCTCAATACTCTTCTCCAGCACCACAGCTCAAAGGCATTAATTCTCCTTCTATCCTCCTAAGTCATTGTCCAACTCTCTGATGCATACCAAGTGATTGCAAAGACCATGGCCTGTATCAGATGCACCTTAGTCTCCAGAGAGACACCATTGCTCTTCAGTATTCTGAATAGGGAGTGTATAACCATTGGGGAGCAGGGGGAAGCACTCACATTTAGGGAGAAGGTGGGGGTGTGCATCCACTAGGGAGAGGACACATGCACAGATGGGGGGCACAAGGGCATATGAATTATGTGCACCAATGGAAAGGGAATGTGGGCCATGGACACAGAGCCATGAGGGACTAGAGTGGAGGTAGCACGCATCCGTGGGCAAGATGGGGTCACGTCCATCTCTGCTTGGGGAGGGGGTCTGTGCCAGGGCACAGCAGGTGGTGTGACACTTGGCCCTTCGTCCTCATTTTCCGGGCATGAGATGTCCAGGTTTTACGGCAGACAGCTAGGGTGTTGTGACTAAAAATACCAAAATAAATAAATAAATATAAAAATAAATGTCCTAGGGAAAAGCAGCCTACCATTTGTTGAGTAAGCCCCAGAGCCACTCCCCCAGTGACATCATAAAACCTTGGCCGAGGGTCCCACGCGGCCCGACGTCAAAGTGCAAAAGAAGGTCCCCAGGCAAGAGTACAGGAGGGCTGCCCAAGGGGACCCGTGGGGACATTGGATGCCAAGGGATTCACCCTTCTGAAGGCTGACATTTATATTGACTCCCGACATGGACCTTGCACAGCAGATGGTTGTCTATGGCACGGCCACTTGGAGAATTATTGGCCAGGCCGTCACATGTCCTGGGTGCTCATTGTCCTGGTCTTGGCTGTGTATTCAGCAGAGTGGCATGCATAGGCAAGATTATAACATAGTGCATGCAGTTTCAGGCTGGGACCCTAACACTCAACACTCGCGGGACAGATTATAAACTGCATTATGTCCAGGTGAAATACCTGGCTTAAAAAAAAACCAAAAGAAACAACACAGCTTCAGTAACAACATCCCCTGAGGACAGCCTTGAAGGAAAGTCTAGGGACACTTTGAGGCTCAGGACTCCCCGAGCTCAGATGGTACAGTCACGGTATATAGAAATGGATGTGCTGTCCCTGTCCTCACCTGCAGGCAGGCCACACCTGTCAGAAAGCTCACAGGTACAGCATAAGTGCCCAGGTGGTAGGGAAACTTAGAGTACTTGAACATTGTTGGAGAGAAGCTTTAATAAAAATAGAGTCGCAGGCCAGTCCCGGAGTCCCTGCACGCACGCTCTTATTGTTTCTCTCCTGGCTTAGCCCAGTCTCACCATGGTGGAAGCCTTCATGGGCATCTGGAAGTTGGTGAACATCGAGAATTTCAATGACTCCTTGAAGTTGCTTGGTGTGGGTTTTGTTACCAAGCAGCTGGCCAGCATGATGAAACCTACTACAATCATTGAAGAGAATGGGGATGCCACCATCACCATAAAAAACTCAGAGCATCTTCAAGAACATGGAGATGTTCAAGTGGGGAGTGGAGCTTGATGAGACAACAGCAGATGACAGAAAAGTCATCTGTGACTCTGAATGGAGCCATACCTATGCATGTGTAGAAGTGAGATGGGCAGAGACGACGCCTGTGTGGGAACCAAGTGATTAATATTGTGACACTCAGGGCAGCACCTTAGCACACAAACCTATGCCGGAGAGGCATGAGCCGGCCCACTGCCCACTGACTGCTCTGCCAGTCAGTCGATCAGTTACCCTGTGAGACTGTAGAAATCAGCTTTGGCTGGGGATTTCTTTTGGAATCAGCTGGTTCTGGTTCCCATTGTATATACTTGTTTTTTTTCCAACTGTATCTAAAGGGTGCACAATAAAACAAAGTTGAAGGCAAAGAAAAAAAAACCATATGAAGTAGAAGATAACTGTGGGCTTCTGTGCTGGGTTGAAGAAGTCTCACGTCCTGCCTGGTCAGCCGTCTCGCTCGAGTCTCCTCTGGCCGTCCTACATGTCTCTCTAGAAGAGGCTAAACTGAGTACGAGACCTGGGGACACCAAGAGCAGATGAAAGCCATCCTCCGTTAGACACATCATTTGTAAAAACCACCTGGGGGTGGTATCTGACTTCCTTTAACTTCACAAGAAAAGAATGAAGATCAAAACCCCAAGGTGGATTTCTATGAAGTGGACGTCAGACACACTTCCTCTGTCCAACCTCTTTTAAAAAAAATAGAACACTCAGGGCATCCTGTTTCTCTGGAATTTGCTAGCTTTGCAATGGCTACAGAGAACACACAACAATCACAGTTAATGGCATTTATTAGGGAAGTAAGAAGTTACAATTCTGGATCACAACTCAGGATACAGTTCTTTTATTATTTTTTAATGGTTTTTAATTTTATACTGGCTTACTTACAAAGTTCACAGTGTTTGTATACATTGTTTTTTACACCAATCTTTCCCTTTTCCTTTACCCACCCCTTCCTCTACCCATCAAATTGTGTGACCCTATGATTAAGCCCCCCACCTCGTGAATTCTCATACTCATACAATACACACTCTACAATAATGGTCATATTTGGTATTTGTCTTTGTAAGACTGAGTTAGTTCACATAGCATAATGCTCTACAGTCCCTCCCATGTTAGGTAGTAATTTACAAAATCATTGTTCCTGCATGCTGCATAGTATTCTATTGTATGAATGTACCATAATTTCTCAGTCCTTTCCACTGCATTTGGGCATCTGGGCTGTTTCCAGGTGTTTCCTGATGGTAAGGATACAGTTCTTTGATCAGCACAGCCTCTGAGTTGTGCCATCATCAAGCTTTTCGCTGACCTTCAAATCCTTGGACCTTTTGGAATGAGCTGAACTCTGTCCTGCTCAGGTAAGTGCCAATAACTGCCTGGAGGCACCCCATTTGGCCAGTAAGTCCCGGCCTCTCTGTCTGTCTTCTGGTTCTGTTGCTTCTGCTTATTTTCTTGTACTGTCTCCAGTGCTACAGCTCTCTCTCTTTAAGACAGGAGATTTCCAGCTTGAGGACCCTTTGCTCAAAGGATATGTTTTACTTTGTCTCTTCTTCTCCGAGGGAGTCAGGCCCCCTGTTAGGGACTGAAATGTGTTGTGTATAATCAGCAGGCAGATTTGTGCTAACCTGTAATGTGTCTTATTTTAGCCCGACTTCTTCTGAGTTACAATAATTAAGGATGCTGACAGCAGAATATTGAATGATTCAGGAAGCACCAAAAGAAGATGGAAGGAGTACACAGAGGCATTATGCCAAAAAGAACTGGCTGACACAGAAGAATTTCATGAAACAACATATGATCAAGAGGCAATGATGATGAAGGAGGAAGTTCAAGCTGCTCTGAAGGAACTGACATAAAACAAGGCCCCAGGAATTGATGGAATACCAATTGACTTATTTCAGCAGAGAGAATGCTGTCCTGGATGCACTTGCCAGGTTAATGCCAAGAAATCTGGAAGACAGCTACCTGGCCAACTGACTGGAAGAGATCTGTGTTTATTCCCATTTGAAAAAAAAAGTGACCAAACAGAGTGAGGAAATTATTGAACAATATCACTAATATCACACACAAGCAAGATCTTGCTGAAGATTATCCAAAACCAACTGGAACAGCCCATCAGCAGAGAACTGCCAGTTGTGCAGCCTGGGTTTAGAAGAGACTGTCGCACCAGGGACATCATAACCAATGTTAGATGGATGCTGGCCAAAAGCAGAGAGTACCAGAGGAATGTCTATCTGTGTTTCATTGGCTATGCAAGGGCATTTGACTGTGTGGATCATAACAAATTGTGGCTAGCCTTGAGAAGAATGGAGATCCCAGAACACTTAATTGTGTTCCTACAAAAACTGTACTTTGACCAGAAAGCAGTAGTCAGAACAGAGCAGGGAAACACTGCATGGCTCAGGATCAGGAAAGATGTATGTCAGAGATGCATTCTCTCTCCATATTCATTTTCAATCGATATGCAGAACAGATAATTCAGGAAGCTGGACTTTATGAGGAGGAATTGGAGAAAAACTCATCAACGACCTTTGTTATGCAGATGATACAACCTTGCTTGCTGAAACTGAGGAGGACATGAGTCTGCTGCAGAAGATCAAGGACTGTAGTCTTCAATATGGATTGAATCTCAACATCAAGATAACAAAGATTATCACCACTGGGCCAACTGGCAGCTTCATGATAGACAGAGAAGAGATTGAGATTGTTAACTTCAGCTAGCTTGGTTCCACAATCA